CCCCCCCTCAATATTCTCAGCAGAAACATTAATGCAATGATTAGAAAATATAGCCCTTCCATTAATCCAACTCAAAATATGCATACACTGTTTAGAAGTTACTTTCATCATAATAAAAAAGAACAATGAGATAAACCCATATAACCTAATCAACAACTCGTTTGATGGAATCAAGTTCACAAAGAAGAAAATAAGAACAAATGTCCTCATCACCATGTACCCTCAACTGTCCCCATTAGGGGGCACCACCTGAGAGGTTTGCCTTGGTTGGTACCCGGAGAGCTCTACTTATTCTATTGCTCTCTAACCTGAAGGATTCTATAAATAATAAGGACCCATCTTTGTCTAAAGAACATATGAAGTTGCCTTATAATGAGACCATTTAATCCATTTATTGTCTACCTAGTCTATAGCAGTTTTATGTATGAAACTCTCAGCAAATCAACCTGCAATGCAAAGAACTGAACCTGAGATTTTTGCATTGCAGCTACAGTACAGCAAAGATGACCAGCTTCTGAATCTGTGAAGCAATCCTGTACTGACTGAATTCTCGCCATGTCAGACTTTTGAAAAACATTTTAAGCATGCCATGTTCCTTCATCATACTGTCATGATTTGTTTTACTAAGTGTATTTGATAAGATACAACGGCTAGGTTACCCATTGCGCTAAGCCATAACTGTAGTTTATAAACCACAATGACTGGGTTCATAAATACACTAAACCAAAAACAAACAAACATATTATGGCTTAATGCAACGTGTGAATGGAGGCAGTTCAGTGCCTTGGCTAACAGCAGCTCTGTAAAATCTCAAAGATTTTTCTGAGCCATGTTACCTGAATTAGAAAAGTTGGGGTCTGAAAATAGAGCTTATGCACTAATAGTGAACTATACCATTCCATTTTCTATATAGCAATACAACAATTCATGGGAGAGGCATATTTAATCTGAAAAATAAATCAACATTATTAAGCATTATGAGCTTCAAAATCCAAAGAGTGATGACATATTTTCTAGAGTTTTTGAAATAAGAATGTTCTGTAGGTTGACAAGCACTCAATAGTATTAAACAGCATTAATGTGCAGCAGGATAGTCACCAAGCAATATAGTGCTTCAGGGGTTAAAACTCACTGCTAGTTTTTTTTTTTGTATGGGATTTTTTAAAATAATTCCTGTCAAAGCAGGAATGTTCAGCACATGCAATTTGTTATGCCAAAATGCTGTAGGAGTAAGAAGAGAATTACCTACTTAAATAAACACAAATACTAAGAGGCTGGAATCCCGCTCTGCTGAGTCTGACCCCAACTCTAGAATTACATTAGAACTCCACTGACACACGTCAAGTTTTACCATTTCCCCCCTGCATGAAATAAATGAGAAGAACTAACATTTTGATTAGGAAATCAGCAGTGTGAGATCTCTCTAGCAAACTGCAAGGATCAGAGATTATCTAACCAAGGCAGATGCAGAGTCACATGAGCTAAATCTGCTGTCACAATTTGATGCTCAGTTAGGCATACCAGGTCTGAACCACAAAAATCCCCACAACAACAGGCTGGTTGCAAAGAGACAGAAAATGTTAACTTTTTGCTGGTAGCTAGTGGTTGTTCAGGTTTATGCTACCTAGTTATGGTATACTGATGCTCTGTTTCCCACTTCTGCTACAAGGTGACAGAATTCTAGGCACAGGGGAGAGAGGTGCACCCAGAAGCATTAGCCCTGACTTTATCTGTTGTCAAAATTGCTGTGGGTCTAAAAAGAGAATTAGGAGGCAGCTGCCATCATCAGCTACTGGGGACAAATGCTATCAGTGCCAGAATGTGGTGGCAAGAATATACACAATATACAGGGTAAGACAATGGCCAAGGCAATTAAATGCAGTACAGCTTAACTGCTATCTCAACCTCCAGCAGGTAGAATTCATAAAAACAAGATGAGAATTTCTTTATCAGGTCTTCCCTGAAGTTGAAATGAGCTGCCTGTAATCGATTGGCACCATTAAGCAGATAATAACAAGAAGGGGAATTTCCACTAATCTTAGCCTAATACCTTTAGAATTTGATTATTTATTTATATTGGATATATTTATACCCTCCTTTTCACTATAAGAGCCCTTAAGGCAACAACAGGAAAATAATTAACAAAATTTTACTTTCTAACAAGCACTTTCTCATCAGAAACTTACTTTAAATTATAAGATATGCTATGCTATAATTCTTTCAATTTGTAGATTCAAAAGCTTTAATTAGGCTGCATGACACACGGTTTAGCTATAGGGGAAAACTGAGGGTGAACAACTGAGAGTTGTTTGTGATTTAGTTCAAGTTAAGGTCTGGATAGTTGGAAAGATGGGCAAAGGCAGCCAGATTTTGACAAGTAATGAATTGAGGCTTTTATCCTGGACGGTACAAACTTAATTCTTCTCTTTCCTCACTTGCACTTGGATAATGCACTTGTGCCTTCCTGCCAAACTCTGCTTCTTTCCTTGCTGTGAAAAATGGTCATCTGGGGGGTGGAGGTAGGGAGTAACATCTTGCAAGTCATGACAACATTATGCAAATAACGCAGCTTACATACTATCATTTGCAGCATAAAACAACTGATGCAAATTTTTTTTTTATTTGCATGATGGTATCATGATGCACCTAATGTCATTGTGACTTCCACCAGATGCCTCTGCTGTGGCAACCTGTTATAATGCTGGCAGGGATCCAATTCTCTCAGCCAGCTATTCCGCCATTTATGAGGGAAGAATGGAACTAGATGTCAGGATTTTCTTTCTCATGGGAAAGGATTCATCCTGTTATCTTTACAACAATAACAAATAATATTTTGA